ACTTGCCATGATCGCCCCTACGTTTGCGATGGAAGTATGGCCTTGAAAAAATAAAAGATTCTCATCTTTCATTCGAGAGATCCCGCTTTTCAGGTCCCCCCTCTTATAAACTAAACTGGCGTATATATTATACAAAACAAATGACTACATCCACTTTCTACCCAACCACCCTTGTGCCTTCACTCATGTTGTAAAAGCCAAACCCACAAAAATTGATTTGGCACAGCTGTTTTAAAAAATTCTCTTTGAGATGTGTACATGTAGTAGTTGGAAGAAAAGAGCGTCTACCTTTGATCGTTTCAATAGTATGATAATTATTATAGACGCATTAAGTTGGGGAAGAAAAATCTGTCTTCTAAAAAGAATTAAATCTAATGATCTAACCCAGCCAGTTGGTAAATTAAAGTCAACAAATCTGACTCTTGATTAAAATTATTGATTAACGATTAGTGTACTTGCACATAGTGCTTACTTTAACCCAGTCCTTTCTAGTATTGCCTTGAAGGCTGCACGCAACATAGTTAAAATCACAATATGGGAAAACCAATTTAAATTATAATTTTGTACAATTGTAAAGGCTCTTGGATATCCGATCAAGTTCTTGATCATCCTTCTTATGGTTGCTTTGAGGCTAAGCCTAATATTTCTGGTGAGCACACATGTCCAAAACCAATTGATTTGTGTTTGTGTGTGTGTGTGTGTGTGTGTGTGTGTGAGTGTGTGTGTGTGTGTGTGTGTGTGTGTGTGTGTGTATGTGTTTGAGTGTGTGTCATGAATGAGCCATACAAGATTTAGCAAAATAGAACAGTACTCTTTTCTGGGGGAGGATAAAAAGACGCAGACAATAATAATATAGATGTTTATAATCATATCAGTCTAGTCCACCGTAAGAGGAACTGCACACCCAGTGGCTGTGTTGAGGGTCAAATTCGTATCATTCAAGACACTCGTGGGACGAACGTACACCAAAGACAAAGTGGATATTGTGCCAATTAGTATTAGATATAACGTCTTTTTCTCTACACAGCAAAAATCATTCGCATGACTAAACCACTTTCCTTTATCTCTATATTTGGATATACCCAGTCTGAAATTATTAGATTACAAACGTACGTTTGAACATACAAGTTCATAAATTGACGGTTTCCTCCCAACTTTTTTTCTCACTTTTGAATTGCTTGTTAGACAACCTGACTGAGTTAGAGAGTCATAAACAGCCGGTATGATTACTCAAGGGATACATCAGACAATATAGAAACACAACACCGCCCCCCCCCCAAAAAAAAAGGACAAAAGAGGTGCCGATAAAAGTAAAAATGCCAAGAAAGCACGGACAATTAAATACAATGTAATTTTTTTTCGAAGATAAAAAAATGCTCAGATAAAAGTACACTAGATCTATCCTTTCCAGTATTTTGTCAACATCCATGATAAAACGTAAGAATTTTTTTTTCAAAATGCTTTTTGGATGTTGTGCTACTAAGCAAGAGTACAGTGTTTCGTTCTCTGGCATCAGTAAAAGTGGCTCAGGCTATTGATTTTATGCTTCATAAGAATAATATTACGAATAAACAGTGGAAGCATTATAATAGATTTCCTACGCCCCATTTGATCAAAAACTATTTTAATTAGAGAAAAACAGTCCAAAGCCGGTAAACTGGCAGCCTCTATTTCAATCTGCTGTCAGTGTAATTGAAAACCTCACAGAAAGATTGCTCGGAGAAAGGCTCCAATGTCAGAGAATGTTTATTCGCACTTAGAGAATAAGCACGGACAAGAGAGCTCAGGTAAGAAAACGACTGTGAATAGACCAGTGTACGCTAAGGAGGATGAACAGTGCCATCCAAACTTTGCTTGGTAGTATTACCACGGTCATGTACATTCCATCATATTTGTCCATTTTCACGTCCTGGTGATTAAAGACCGGATTATATCAAATCACCCTGGGACGAGGAGGAAAGACATTCGAGTTTGTTTATATATTATTTCCAACGCACCGTCTTGCAGAATTCGATCATGGGGCTTTTGCTTTGCCCAAAAGCCAGAGTAATTATTTTTTTTCGCCCAAGAATGGATTTTTATCATGTGCAAAAACATATCCCCACAGGGAGATAATACTCAAGACGATGAGATGGATTCGGCTTTTGCGTCACACGTAGTTAATTAGTCTGGAAAAGACTGTAACATGAATTGATCAAACAAAACTGTTGAAGATGATATATGACATGTCATTGTACACAAAACGAGAGAGAAAGAGAGAGAGAGAGAGAGAGAGAGAGAGAGAGAGAGAGAGAGGGAGGGAGGGAGGGAGGGAGAGAGAGCAGGGAGACAGACAG